TTTTTTTGGTTTTTCGAGACAGGGTTTTTCTGTGTAGCTTTGCACCTTTCCTGGAACTCACTCTGTAGGCCAGGCTGGCCTCAAACTCACAGAGATCTTCCTGCTTCTGCCTCTGGAGTGCTGGGATTAAAGGCGTGCACCACCACTGCCCGGCTGCTCAGTTTCCTTTTATCCTGCTCAGATTCTCGAGCCATCACTACATTTACATCTTCTCACACACCGTCACCCTGCCCTTCCTCCGAGCTCTGGCAGGACTTTGGTCAGGGCCCTCACCCTTAAAGATGTCTCCCTACAGATTCCACACAGCCTTTCCTCGGCACTCACAGTACATAACTCTGGTGTCCTTTTTCTTCATCAAAGTGCCCTATTGGGTTAAGGCCCTAAGAACCTCTTATAATCTTTATCACTGACTTATAACCTTATGTCCAGTGACTGGGAGCTAAATTTTCAATACACAATCTCTGAAGAGGCACAAACCTTCAGTCCTTTACACATTTTCCATCATGTGGTCCCTTCCCTTCTTATGTACTCACACAAAATTACAAGTCTGATAAGATACAACTCACACCTGCTCTATCCCTGCATCTATCGAAGAACACATAAAAGCCAGATGTCTGGTTGTCCTTTACAGTTATAATCTTAAACCCCAAGTACATTCCTCAGGATGGCTAGAAACCACCCCACATTCCTTTATCAATGAACCAACTGTCCATGACTTTCATGAGTCATTCTAGCTTTTCCTTTTTCTTCAAATTTCCAATAACCCCTTGCTAACTCCTTAACTTCTGCTGAAAAGTTGTTATTTCACTTAGGAAAAAAAGCAACTAGAATAACATTTCCACATACTCCAAGAGAAAAATGTATTCGCTGACTCTCAGAGTCCTTGCTGCAGACTTGTCTATCCTTTCTCCCCCGACACCTTTCCAGGCACAGCTGACTACAGCACTCCTTCCCCTCTCTATATCATCTTTTTCTCTTTTTTCTCTTCTACTACAGCATTTGCGATCAGAGCAAATGTTGCACTCCTCTTAAAGAAAAGAAACAGAAACTTAGTGGCCATTGTGATGCCATCAGGAGATAAGACTTTAAAGAGGGAATTCGTCTTGAAGGCTCCTCCTCCCTTTTAAAGGGGATTCAAGTCCCACTTACAGAGGCTGCTGCAGTCTCTGCCTTACTTGCTCTCCCTTCCTGCATCTTGGAAGCAGAAGCAGTTCAACTCAAGGATCACATCAGCCCCCATCTTGACTTGAGCCTCCTCAAAGGTGAGAGGCCAGTCCACTCTTTCTGAGCTATGCAGCTGGTGGAATCTTACTTTAGCACAAACAGAGGAAGGTGTTCTCACAGTTGTGCCAGGCTCACCATCTCATTCATAATGAAGCGCCTCTTTGGGTGATGACTGGATGTACTTGCTTTGATCGTTTTTGATTATTGCGATTTGGATACATCATGTTCATGCTCACCAACACATCTGCTTTCTGCTTGTCACTTTGTTCTCTAGTCTGATGTGACGTTAGCTGCACAGCAAGAGGCCAGTAAAGAAATGAGCTGTGGAATGCTCAGTGGTACAGAAGTGCCTCATTTGTTTCTCCAGTCTGGCCTTGGTTTCAAGCTCTTTACTCTCACAAGTATTTGCACTCCAGCTTTTTGCAGGTCACCATTAGACCTGCTACGAGAAGTCACTTTTTAGGGTAGATTTCCTCAGAAATGCATGAAATATTTCATGCCTTATAATAAATAAAATCTATGTGTTGCAGTTTCAATGTGAAATGTATCTCACAGGCACATGTGCTGAATATTTGGGTCCTAGTTGGTGGATCTATTTTACGATGCAGTAGAAACAAAGGCGGAGAGCTTAGCTGGAAGGAGGCCACTTGAAGGGCATGCCTGGTCGCTGACTCCTTCCACTGTCTTCTTCTCCATTCCTGGCCGCTATGAGTGTAGGAGACTTCCTGAGTCCAGCGCTTCTCTCATGATACTCTTCCTTACCATATTCTAGAAAAATGGAGCCAGAGACTCCTTGGACTGAGCCATCAATAACCATGTGACAAATAAAACACTAAAT